AAATGAAGTCCATAATAACTGACAAAATCAAACTCTATCAATCAACGGAACAAGTGAAAAACAACTTTCATATTCCTGACTTGAAATGGATCTAACACTATCTATTACTTTCACGTATATAGATATGTATTCTCACTGAATCATTCAAGGTTGTGTTACTTTAGCACTATGTTCATCGCACCTATCCCATTAAAATAAAATAAAGGAAACAACATCTACAGTTTAGTCTGCTTTATATTTTGGCTTACATCTAAACATTAACAGAGAAAGTGTTTTGTAAACTGTACTTTACTAAGAGTTGACGTAATATTATAATTTTAAATTTGAATTTTTATGTAAAAACATTCCAGTGGCCACATCAACTGGATAGTGAGCTTCCTAGTGAAGGTAAATCCAGAAAAGGCGCTTCGGACGCATGAAATTTATAACGTGTTGTTTTCAATTTTATACCAATATTCTAGAATTACTGTACAAATTTTAATGTATGTTCTTTTATATATAGACTTTGTATACGTTGTGTCAATCCACTGATCGAGATTGGAAAGGGGTTTCAGATATTAAAAAAAAGTTTAACGGCGACATATGTATGTGCCTATATGGAACTCCACCAGCGGTTGTTTTATGACACATATAAATGTTATTTGTAATTTATGGTTATTGGAGACCTTTGATTGTTTCTGTTTGATCAATTCACAATTTGTTTTAATCGAAACGATATCTAACTTGCCACTATGTATAGATATTTGTCTATTGTTGAACACTGTGTTTCAATCTATATATGACACTTGTTTTCCAATCGTACCGTTGTTTGGTGTAGTCTAACGTTTCAAACGAAAAAAACAACGGTCTGATTAATTATAAAACAATAAACGAAAAAACAACAAAATATAAACAGCAAACAACAACAACCGCTAAATGACAGGTTCCTTACTAAGGACAGGCACATACAGAATGGGATTAAACATGTCATAAGCGCTCAACACTCCCTCTAACCTGGAACGGATATCTTATATCACAACATAAAGCAGACTGTAAAATTCAGTTGGAAATGGTTTTACACGAAGTACAAACAACAACTAAAATAAGAACAAGAAATACACGAAGTGCCGATCCGTGTAGTAGTACTCGCAATTAGTTAAAGCTATTTGTCTATTTGTTATAGTTTTCAAAATGATAGTAAATCTATTTTGATTATTTTATATTAAATTAAAAGTTTGCTGAAAATTATTATCAATTTCTTGGTAATTTAAAATGCTTGCATCTTAAAACGTTTGTTTAAGTATACATACATTTTGTTCATCTTTGTCATTTTTCAATGTGCTCTGGCAGAACTAGCATGTTTGATGTTCAAGACGATTTTTTGAAAACTAAAAAAAACACTTTAATTATTGTATTTATGTGATCAATACAACAGTTCGTGACTGAAAATAAGTTTATAAAAATTATGTTTGCATTATTCGTAATATACTATATTTAAACGCAATAAAATGTTGTTAACATTGATTAAATTGTGTATTTTGATAAAAAAAAATACATTGATAACTTATCAAAAAAATGTCACTTTGATAGTTTATCGTAAATTGATTGTATTTTTGTATTGCGTCCTTGTTTTTAGTGTCGGTGTGACGGACATCTCCTTATTCTAATTTTTATTTTGTGTGATAAAAACAGCTTTCAATAAACAATTAAATTGTCAGATTCAATTAAAAAAGACGAGATGTATACTCAAACATATTTGACTAAATAAGGCCTGTTGTCACTATCAAAGTTTTCTTGAAAAATTTTCTTGGTATAAGTTTTTGGTGGATTTTAATATAGTGAAAACCTTTACGGATTTGAATGGAATAGAATCTCATATTTTTCTTGAAACTTGTATGGACTTGGACGGGAATTATCCAATCACAGTGCATTTTTCTCACCTGAATGAAAGGGTCAACACCAGCTATTGTATTCGTATATAGTGTCCATTGTCCATCTCTCTCGCCGTCTTTTGCAAACTGAAACTAAGTAATCAGTAAGAACAACATATGGTCTGAATCATTTTAAGGGTTTGAAGTTACAAAAATATGGGGTTTTTTACGTATGTTTTTGATGAAAAACTTTGATAGTGACAACTGGTCAAAGTTATCTTTGGCCAAGTTTTTGATGAAAACTTTAATAGTAACAACAGATGACTTGGACCAAGTTTACCTGGCCAAAGAAAACTTTGACCAAGTTCAATCAAATAGTGACAACCGGGCTTAAATTTACACTTATACGCAGGGTTCAAGGAAAGAGGGCATAATGTTCATACTATTAAAATTATGGGAGGGCATATCGAGGCTAAGACGATTTTATGCCAAAAAAGAGTATTTTTTCGGTCAAAAGGGATGCGTATGACCTCTTCATCCTCACATGAATCGATCACTGATACCGATATGGAAAAGAATATATACATCATACGAGTCGATATGTACTACAATTAAGACTCGATTTCCTCAAACCGACGGGTTTTATTCAGAATACAACCTCCTTGTTCCGCTTACTTTTCCTAAAAGTGTGTGTATTCTTTTTTCATTTTCAAAGTAAATGGGATGATATATAACTAGTTTTCCAAACGTTTTAGGGTATACATTACTTGTCCAAGTAATCAAATATTAATATTTATTGATATTTTTATTGATCCATGCAGAATTGTTTGAATTTTGTATTCAAACATTTTATTGATATTTTAAATAGATATATGTGATATTCGGCAGTGCTTTAAAACCAAAACACTAAAAACTGTATGACTAATAAAGACTTTCAACGGTCAAATATTTCTTTTTACACATGCCAGTGACATATAATACAATTATATACAGTTGTATTATATGTCTCTACACATACTAATTTAAAGGATATTTCAAATAATTATGGGCACTGAAACACCATGACAAGGCATAAAGCAAATTGTATTTCCAGGCTTGAGTTAAGCCATTTCAATTGATATTTTATAGTGTGTTTTTCTACGTTGTGATGTTACACTTTTGTTTCAGATAAGGGTGAAGTTTGGTACCATTAAAACGTTTAAACCCGTTGCAATTGTTTGCACCTGTCCTAAGTCAGGAATCTGATGTTCAGTAGTTGTCGTTTGTTGATGTGGTTCATAAGTGTTTCTCGTTTCTCGTTTTTTATATAGATTAGACCGTTGGTTTTCCCGTTTGAATGGTTTTACATTGTTTTCCCGTTTGAATGGTTTTACACTAGTAATTTTTGGGGCCCTTTATAGCTTGCTGTTCGGTGTGAGCCAAGGCTCCGTGTTGAAGACCGTACTTTGACCTATAATGGTTTACTTTTATAAATTTTGACTTGGATGGAGGGTTGTCTCATTGGCACTCATACCACATCTTCTTATATCTATTAAGAGTGGGGTTTCTGGGCACTGAACCACCACGACAAGGCACAAAGCAAATTGTATTTCCAGACTTAAGAGTGGGGTTTCTGGGCACTGAAAAACCATGACAAGGTATAAAGCAAATTGTATTTCCAGGCTTAAGAGTGGGGTTTATATTACATATCATAATACTATCAAATATATAAATCTATTTTTTATCTTGGCTTGGTTTTTTCATGTTTTGTGGGCAAATGGTGGTTCTCTTTTATTTGTTGTTATTTTTTATAAGTGTACTTTTTTTATTTTGACAGGAATTTGTATTTAGATCGTAATCACGGTGTTATTTTCTTCTAAATATTTCTAATTTATAGTTGACTTACGTTAAGCTATGAAACAAGGCATTAGAGATTATGTATTTTTCCCGTTACCCTTCGATAAATGAAAACAAAAAAGATATTTAAGGATATTAAATAATAAAGTATATGGAATCATATAAACATAGGACTACAAATGGTACTTAAAAACAATTCCTTTCGTCCTCTATACAGGATGAAAAATAATCACCTGTATTAAAATACGAATACAATGATATTAAACGGTACCAATGATCCTGTACCAGATGCACACTTTGACAAATAATGTTTTTTTTCAAATTTTCCAAGCCAAATGTTTATTGCCAATCCCTGCAAAAGTACGATTAAGGTGATACTTTCTATAATTAAAGTACATGGTATTTAATATCTGCATATATGCAATCGATGTAAAGAACTTAACGCAATACTCAAAGCACATGTATACGCAAAAATGAAAGACAGGAATACAAAAAATGACCATAACACAATGCGGGCGGGATGTATTTATAACAGTACCGAGCCACGCCAAAAGGATATTACCAAAATGGACTAAAAAGTAAAGGTTAATATTTTAGAACTTGCGACAAATAAAAGAACACTATAACACGTAACTAAGATGATAAACAACGTCAGTACCTAGAATCTATACTTCAAGACCATCATGTATTATTTGTGAAGTTGATACGGAATATTTATCAACACGGTCAAAAATACTGGTTTTGGAACTTGTATGAGACATTGCTAACATAAATATTTGATATAAATTTCATTTAAATAGAACTTGTCCGAGACATTGCTGATATGAACCTAGAATATAAGTTTCATAAAAATTTGGCAAGAATTGTACACATGAGAGCGATAACAATAAAATTTTCAATATAATTAGTATAAAGGATTTATATGATCTTAAATAGTGTAAAGCCTTGGACAAGGACATAACTCTTTTTAAAAAAATCATCGGCACTGATCTTCGAACTTGTCCAAGACATTTCTGATATAAACCCATGATATAAGTTTCTTAAACATTTGGATAGCCAAAAATTTGGCAAGAATTGTACACGTGAGAGTGCTGACAAGACCGGACGGACAGACACACGGACGGACGGACAGACGGAAGGACGGACGGACGAACAGACGGAAGAACGAATGAACACTCGGTATTTCTACGTCCCCGCAATGCGTCGCGCGGAGGACAATATAAATGTCACTTTGAAGATGTAAATAAAGGCTGCGGAGTTTGGTCCATAGTCGTTCCTGAAACAGTTCATAATTTTACAATAATCATTGCTCCAAGATGGCCGACTTGGAGTTTGATGGTTACCCACTTCATGAAAGTGTATTTAACGATGATATACGACGGCTTTCACAATTATTACGGGTACATGATGTAGCACAGAAGGATGTTCATGGTATGGCATAATAATAATTTAGGTTTTTCATGATAATGTATTTCCATTGACATAACCGCACTCCATTGTTTACATCAGCATCATCACTGACACCAGAAATGATCTCCCTTGACCAGACGACAGTTTTGCATAATCATTCAGGGAACACAATCAAAACTTACATCTACAGTTAGATGTCAAATTGTATGATATAAGTTGTAAAGTCGAACTAGGTTTACAAATGTAGAATGACTGCATAATTTGTTTTAAAATATATACACATATATTTGTTCAAGGCTTAAACAGGTTCATTTTGTTGAATGCAAGGCTTTGTCACGAAAATTCTATCCTTGTTTTACGCCTATTGCAAGTAAAATGAAGGCCATGAGGAAACTTATTGTTGTTCTTTTTTTTTTTTTCAACGGTTAAATCTATTTCATGTATTTCATGTTTCTAATAAAAAAGCGCTCTGCAGTCATGAACATAATTACAGTTTTTGGAATTTAGCTGAATTTGTCTCGGAATAACCCTCTGACGTCAAGCAACAATCACTTTTTGATTATGATTATGATTATGTCAAACATTTTTGTCAAATTTTACGGGAACTTTTGTGATTTTAAGTTATGGCAGACAAATTTGCATACAACTGTAAATATGCTATTCCGAGGGGTTTGTTTGGCATTAGCAAAAGTCTAGGAAAATTGGTGGTTGACCGGTAATTTTTTCTATCAAGTCGACCTATTGTCCGTTGAAATTTTTTTGGACCAAAAAATATGTTCATACCATTATCGGTTCCCAACTTGATGATTTATATTTTCAAATCCCTGTCACCATGTATTTCAAACTTTTAATTGTTTAAGAAAGCTTATTTCCAACATTTTATTAGAATATCCTATCCAAAATAAGTATATTAAAAAAAATATCTATGGAGGAGAGAGTTAACAATGTGTTTAAAAATTTGGGAAATCAGTTTAGGCAATCTTGAATTATTGTATAAAATAGAAGTGTTGACAGACAGACAAACAGATGGACAAACAGGGTGATTACTATAGAACATCACTGACTAGTCAAAATGGCCCTGATAAACTTTGAGATTATGCAAAATTCAATGCATTATTTTTTTTAAACTCTTTCTTAATTCATTCATTCACAAGGCAATGAAATAAAATCTTAACAGGGCTCCTAAATAAGATAAGAAGGTATAATGTTGGCAAAATTTTCACATGAAAAGGATTATCATGATTCTTCGATTCTCTTTGAAGTCGTCTTGCTTATTGGACATATTGGGTCTTCACTTCATGGTGCTGTTTGCCATTTATAACATTCTGAAGTGCATTGACCCCTAATAAATCAATGTTGAGGTTACTTATACATTTACAAGTATCATTAAGGTTCATCATAACAATTGAACAAAAATGGCTGTGTTTACACGTTGAAATTTACTTTGAGTATGAGTCTATGACATAGTTGTGCAGTTAAAAAATTTCAAGGCCTAGCATCCCATAGATATTATAGGCAAATGCATTTTGTGTTTCAGAAAGATCAATTTTTTGGGGGATTTTGACTTTTTTGAGTTGTGTTTTTTCATCACTTCAGAAGATGGTAAAACATTGTAAAATAAACAAACACTCGAGTTATATTTGATACTGTTCTCTCATGAACACTGTTAAAATCATCATTTGTTGTGAAGCCATGGTAAATACCTCTTTTCCTTCTATTGTCCATATCAATCAATACAATACAGTACAATTCAGAGTTCCAGCTAGGATTTCAAAAGGGCAGGGAGCCAATCATGAAAAGGGCACTTTAGCACGCTGATTGATACATTTTTGTAATTCAAAAAGGGCATGTCAAACATTGTCTTTTACTATATACACAGCAGGGGCTTCAGCTAGGAGTTTTAGGGCTTTAGTCACTTTTACGCGAGATGAAAATTAACCTTATTTTGGGTACCAGTAAGGGACCAAGGATCTTTGAAGGTCTTAGGCATGCTACAAATGTAGGCAGTTATTGCATGATTTGACTGATGTGATGCTTAAATATTAAAGATTAAAACAAGGATCCGGACACCTAGTTCACAATTTCACTTCATTTATTTTCAGGGGACATTTCTGATAAAAAAAAATTGGGTTCCTCTTTTTTAAAACCAGGAATCAGAGCATAAATGAAATTGTAACTATTTCACTGCATAATCATTATCCCTGTAAAAGGTTTAAATCAATATTTGGAATTTGTTTTTATAAACTTGGAACTATTATATTGACTGTATATTTTAAATTTATCAAGAATAGATCAGTTAACTTTCTATTTTTAAACGAAATGAATACAGGAAGTGACAAGAGGATAATAAATTTAGAATGAATCCAGATTCATCTACTGATTGGTTCGTGTTTAACAAAAAGGCAGGAAATTGCCAATTTTTAAATCAAGCATGCGCAGTACAAGATTAAGAAAACACCTGTTTGACTCGTGAAAATATTTTTGATCATTTTGAATAAAGTTTCATTTTCATAATCGAAATTGTCGAAAGATTTTGATGAAAAGTTATGACAAAACTACGCAAATAGTGATCGTTTGAGAAATTTTGAAATAAAAATGCACACTGTCCGGGGAGAAATAATTTTGTTCAATTGACGAAACTACTAAAACATCTACATGTTTCATTGTCTATGGATAAATGAACTGCAAATTGTTGTCTTTTGAGAAATATTGAAATTGAAATGCCGACTGACAGATATTACTGGGAAAAATAATTATAATGGTCAATTATGAGGTTTATTAATTAACGGATTAGTGACCCATCCGATGGCAATAAGCGGATTACCTGTAATCACAACTTATAACACCTGCTGTAAAGGTTAATAAGCTGAGGGTCATAATCTTGTTAGAAACATGAAGACAGGTAGAATCATAGTATTTTCATCAAAATAATACAGCAATAAAGGCATGGACTTGCGAAAAAGAGCAGGGCGTCTGAAAAAGGGAAGAGCACAGGGCGCCAGAAAAAGGGCACAAGTCGGGAAAGGGCGGGCGGACCACCCTGTGAAAACAATCAAGCTGGAACACTGCAATTAATATCTGAAAGGACATCTCAAAGATTTTACCCAACTTAATGTTTACATTATGTACATCTTATGCAGGAATGGAAAAATATGACCATCAAAATCCAGGAAAGTGTTTAACTTTCTGAAACACAAAATGCATTTAACTTTTATATGTCTATCTAAAATTTTCAAGTTGCACAGGTTTGTCTGTACTTGGAGATAATTATGTGATGTTAATAGTCATTTTTGACAAATAGTTAAAATAATCCTAAAGAATCATACACTAAGTAAGGGAATATCATTCTTACCATTTAAAAAATAAAAATCCCTACCTACAATGTACCTATCCTATTTTTTATTTGTATGTAACTTGAACTACACTTTTTATTTGGCCTTATAAGGTATTTAATTTGTGCATGTAGTGATGGACAAGGTTCATACATTTGTATTTGACAGTTATAACTAATGAATTTAAAAAAAAATCACTATTTAATTTTTAAAGTGATCCAAACTGTTTCTAGGCATTTATACCTTTACACTAAATTACAGCTTTTTTTATGTTTCATTTTTTTCAGGAAACACACCATTACATCTTGCAGTGATTTTAGGACATAAAGGTATGCTTAATAATGTTGATACTAGAATATTAAAAATTTAAATTTGTATCATCCATCACATCTTTTGAGTATTTTGATTAGGCTCCGAAATTTTGAAATATAAACTGGCAACTGCAGTTTCTTCTATGGTTGTCTGGTGTGTCAGTCCACCATGTACACGGGATATCACCAAATTTGCTGACCCTGTGACCCTGATACTGGATTTTTAGGTTCCACTTATCATTATATGAAAATTCTAAACTTTTTGTTGTGGCTTTCAAGGTAAAAACCTACATTTATCATGTTTCTGATTTTTTTTTCAAAATGGTAATGTAAGCTCCAGGGATGATTAGAGCCCATTTTTGCTGGAGTTTATGAAAGTCCTCTCAAAAGTTTTTGATTGCAAAGCAAGTTTTTTGGAGAGGTCAGCATTGGAAAACAGTAAATATTGATTCTCAGTGCAACAGAAGTTTACATTAGCTGATTAGTATTCACAACAATTGAGCTAAAATGGGAAAAAATAGGAGGCATTGCAGAGTAGAAGAAAAAAATAAAGAGGACAGTCAAATGTTTTTTGGATGTGAATAACCACTTTACATTTTGTTGTAGAATGCATACATCTACTGCTGGCCCATGGCGCGCCTGTACGTGTCAAGAATGTACAAGGATGGACTCCATTAGCTGAAGCCATAAGTTATGGGGACAGACAAACAAGTAAGAGTTATGAGTATAGATTTATTGCACAAACCATGTCTTGCACATGATGATTCTATCAGATAAGGGGGAGTAACAAATGGAAAAGGACAATGTTCTTCTAAGAAATAAATTATCATAGGAGTAGCAGTTTTATGACTGCACTTTATTGTTTTCACAGTAAATGGAAAGTCTTTGTGTTGATGAACTAAATAACAAAACTTATTCCTTACAGCATGGTCAGGTCACCCTAACCAAGGTGCTTGGTTAGACCTGTAGTTGGTTGGTGAAGAATTTTGCTTATCAAATATATTTAAGGGTTATAAGGGCATTGTTTGGTTTTTGGGGTACATTTGTATTATAAAGAACTAGTCAAAATTTTATGTCAATAAATATGTTACCATCATAAATTCTGAGTACATCCATCTGCGCAAGTCTGACAGGCGGAAAACCCCAAATAAAAATATCATCCAATGAGAAGAGGGATGACCAAGCAGTGCCCGTATAACCATGCCTTTATATCATCCATTTAATTTCCACCTGCGCATCGAGACACACGTGTTACAACTTACAGAGAAGACTTTTAAGTTTTTTGTTTTTTGGATAGTGAATATTGTAGGTATCCCCATACCATTGTTTATTAATTATTGTTGTTATAATATTATATTTTATAAGTATTTAACTTCATACTTATTTAATTATGGAGTTTAATGCTTCCAGTCCTTTCGAGGCCATTACAGGTAATGATGTTTTTTTAGACGGTTCGTTACCCTTTACTGTTACCGCAACAACGGTAAGGCAGGGAACCCCTCCTATTAGTAGTCAACTAACTGACGTTTTTACTTCAGTGACTACTAAGACCGGTCAACAGACCCTCAATACAGGTTCTGTCGGTTATCATGGAGGTGTCCCTACCATTGCCACTGTTACGCACACTTTTTCTAGGCCAGTTGACACCACTGGGTCTATTTCATCCTACCCTGGTATTTCTATGGGTCTAAACTTACCTGGGTCTAGAGCGCCAGCGTCATACTGTGGCTTCACTTTACCTGCTTCGGCTAGTAACGCCATGTCTTGGTCTAGACCTCCTTGGTCTCAGGGTTATCCTTATTCAGGCTTTCCTGGTCAGGGGTTTCATGGTCAAGGGTATCCTGGTGAAGGGTTTCCTAATCAGGTTTTTCCCGGTCAGGTTCCTGGTCAGCCTTTCCCAGGTTTCTGGCCTTATTGTGGACCAATTACCACACCAGTTATTGTTCCTCAGAGTACTAAATCTAATCTGTCAGTTCCTGCTCCTCCTTTAGCAGTGTCAGCTAGTAGTTGTAGTAGTGTATCTGTACCTGCTGCTCTGCCTACCTCTTCTGTTAGGCATCAGTTTAATCAGGTTACTGACTCTGGCCCCTCTTTAGATGGGTTCAAGAGTATTCTGGACGACTTTCGTCAGTCTATTTCTTCTGAATTGACGTCTTTCTCCAACCGCCTGGGTACGCTAGAGAACATTGCCAATAAGTCAAATTTTCCAGTGATTTCACTCCTTCCAGATCATAATATTGGAAGTGACCCGGAGGACAGTGATGAGGAAGAACGCTTTTCGGTGGCCCCAGGCAGTCAGGAAGAAGGTTTTACTTCTGATGAAGAAGGTGATAATCCAGCTCAGGTCTCTCAGAATGTTTCTCAACCTTCTGTTCCTGTGTCTATCTCTTCTTCTGTTATTGGTCATTCTTCTACCAATTCCAGTAAGGATCCTGAGGCAGAAGATACTCCTTCTACTTTGAAGGATCTTAGAGATTCGGTTTATACCATTATGAGAGACGTCAACAAGGTACCATTTCAGTCTCCTCCCAGACCCAAGAGACTTACCTCTACTTTCGAGGCTTCATGTGGTCTGTCTATAGACAACGCTAAGTCACATACTAGTTTTCCACAATCCAACCATATCATATGTCTACTTCTCTGCAGATCATCAATGATGGGATTGTGGCTAATGAGTCCCAATTTTCTCAAGTGAGTGGTTTTGGGCTTGCCTCATTTACTGAGCAGTTCTGTTCTAAAGATTATGATATCTTTGATTCTACCTTGGGTAAATTGGTACTTAAATGTGACAAGGTTTTTTCATCTTCGATTGCTTCTAAACCTGCCGATGGACTGCGTCTTTTTTAGTCTGTTTGGTCCAAAACGGAGTACCTTCTCAGGAATGCCTCTCATGTTTTAGGCACTGCTGAACATTTTTTATCTGCAGTTGCTCCAGTACTTAAAGACTCTTCTCTTCCACCAGAGGTCAAGCCTTTTCTATTACAGGTGGACAAGGCTTTGGGTGCCTCTCAGTTGTTGATTATGGGTTCTATAGCCAACTGCACTTTATCCAAAAGAGCTGAAATTTTGGATAAAGCAAAGGTTTCGGATAATCTTAAGGATGCTTTAATTAAGTCTCCTTTAGATGATAAGATTTTTGGGTTGCCACTTAATGAAGTACAGAAGCATCTCAATCAAACCCCAGCTCCAGTGAAGGTGAATGTATCTCATTCTGGAAATAATTCTAAACGAGGTAGTTAAACTTCCGCTGGAGGCTCATCTTATAATTCTCAAGAGTAGAGGAGGAAAATGACTAATGATGGAGGTAATAAACCTAAGAAGTCGTCATTCCCTAAGTCTAAACCTAACAGTTTTAAGAGAGGTGGCAAGAGGGCCAATCCCTCTTCCTAGGAAGTTGCCCCCTCGTACGTTACTGTCAGAACCCAATCCAGAGATGTACTACAAAACTCCTCTTTCTCAATTGCCAGTAGGGGGGAGGTTAACTCATTTTCTAAAAAAATGGACAAGTATTACCTCAGATTGTTGGGTTTGTCAGTAATTCGAGGGGGGTTGACTCTTCAATTCAAAGAACAACCTCCTCTTTCTTCTGTTCCTATCCCACTGTCCAATACTCAAGATCCACAGAAGTTTCTTTTTCTGTCAACAGAAGTAGAGACTCTTTTGACAAAGAGGGCAGTGGAGGAAGTCCCTGTATCTTCAATAGATCCAGGTTTCTATTCTCGTCTCTTCCTTGTTTCGAAGAAGACAGGAGGAATGAGACCAGTCATTGATTTGTCTATCCTCAATTCTTACATTATTATTCCCCATTTCAAAATGGAGACCAATCGTTCAATCAGAGCTTCTATTCTTCCAGGTATGTGGACAACATCCCTGGATCTGACGGACGCTTATTTTCATGTTCCAGTTTGCCATTCATACCGCAAATTCCTTCGGTTTGTTTGGAACAAAAGGGTTTACCAATTCAGAGCTCTCCCTTCTGGTCTGTCAACTGCACCACTAGTCTTTACCAAACTCATGCAGGTAGCCATAGCTCACCTTCATTCACAGGCTATTCAGATTCATTCTTACCTGGACGACTCACTGATCAAGGAACTTTCTCCCGAGAAACTCTATCTCAATACCGATGTAGTCATCAGATTGCTTCTCTCTCTGGGGTTTCTCATCTCTTGGAAAAAGTCAGACCTTATTCCGTCTCAGGACTTTATTTTCCTAGGCGAACATTACCTTACTCATCAGTGCATAGTTCGACCTCCTCAGGAAAAGTTTCAGAATCTTTGTTCAAAAATTCATCTGTTTCTATCTCAAAAAACAGTTACTGCTGGCCAGTTTTCACAACTGCTAGGTCTCTTGAATTCACTAGCGGATGTTGTTCCACTTGGTCGCCTTCACATTCGACCTCTTCAATTTTATCTACATCAACATTGGCTCCCAGCTTCACAGGATTGGGAATTTCCAGTTCCAATCATTCATCAGGAATTGTATCCTCATTTGGTTTGGTGGACTTCCCAAGCAAACGTCTTGAGAGGCCAACTTCTGTCCTCTCCAGTTCCAAATCAGACTCTGTTCACAGATGCCTCCAACCTCGGTTGGGGAGCCTATCTGGAAGGTCTTTCAGTTTCAGGAGTGTGGACTCCAGATCTTTTGAAGGAACACATCAACATACTAGTAATGAAGGCAGTTCTTCTTGCACTGTCTCATTTTCAGTCCCTACTGCAGAACAAATCTCTTGTTCTAGCATCGGACAACACCACTGTGGTGGCTTTTTTGCGAAACCAAGGGGGAACTCATTGTTACGAGCTGTTCCTTTTAGCAAGAGAAATCCTCCTTCTTTGCAATCACCTTCATCTACAGATTGTAGTTCGTCATGTCCCAGGGAAACTCAATGTGTTAGCAGATGCTCTGTCCAGGACACTTACCCCAGTCAATACAGAGTGGGAACTTCTCCAATCAGTATTTCAGGCAATAACACTTCAGTGGGGGTCTCCTCATGTAGACCTGTTTGCAACAAGCCTCAATTACAAAGTTCAAGTGTTCATGTCTCCTGTTCCAGATCCGTAAGCTTACGCAGTAGACTGCATGAGTGTTCCTTGGGACGGAATGTTCACGTTACGCCTTCCCTCCGTTCAGATTTCTGTCAGAAGTTCTTCGGAAGATCTCAGCAGAGCAAGGGTTGATCATTCTTTTTGCTCCAGCTTGGCCCAAACAAGCCTGGTTTCCAGATCTTCTTCATCTGTCTTGTGCTCGTCCACTGGTTCTACCAGTACGACACAACCTTCTGTCCCAGTTCAAGGGCAAGATTCTTCATCTCAATCCAGAGAAGCTACATCTGTTCGCGTGGCTTCTCTCAGGGATAGCTTCAAGGAGAGAGGTTTTTCTGAATGCGCAGCCAGACATCTCTCCCGAGCAGTTAGAGATTCCACTAACATCGTCTGTGATGCCAAGTGGACTATCTTCAGTAGTTGGTGTAGTGAGAAGGAAATTGATCCTTTCCAAATTTCTGTACAGCAACTAGCAGACTTTCTGATCCACCTTTTTGAAAAGAAAGGATTATCTCCCTCTACAATTAAAGGCTATAGATCAGCTATTTCTAGGACGATTCAACTGTCTGGAGGTCCAGATTTTGGTAATAATGAATTCATTACTCTTTTAGTTAAGAATTTCACTCTTGAACGCCCTAGACAGAGAGTTTTAATCCCGTCTTGGAATTTGAGTGTAGTTTTATCAGCTTTAAAAACCCATCCTTTTGAACCTGCTGAAAAGGTTGAAATCAAGTTTTTATCGTATAAGTGTTGTTTTCTTCTTGCCTTGGCCTCTGGTAGAAGAAGAAGTGAAATTCATGCGTTTTCCACTGCTGATTACTGCCTTTGTTTTAATAGGGATAAGTCATCTGTTACTCTATTAACGGATCCAGCCTTTTTAGCCAAAAATCAAATTCCATGCAGAGGTTCAGAACCAATAGTGATTCCAGCCCTTCCTGATGATTCAAGTTCTAAAGTACTCTGTCAGATCCGAGTCTTACTTTTATATCTTCAGAGAACACGGAGTCTCCGCACCTCCTCAAATTCTAGGTTATTTATTCCTATTTACAAAGGAAAACAAGATTTGTCTGCTAAAACCATTTCAACTTGGATCTGTAAAACTATTCAATTAGCTTACAACTCTTCTAATGAAGAACTTCTGAATAGTATGCATGTTAAAGCCCATGATGTTAGAGCTATTTCTACCTCCTGGGCCCTTTTTAATAACGCTTCTTTAGAGGAAGTCTTATCTGCAGGTTTCTGGAAAACTGAAAATTCTTTCATTTCTCACTATCTGCAGTCTTTATCTACTCAAGCTCAGAGTTTGTACTCCTTAGGACCTTTAGTTTCCGCACAAAGAGTTGTTTTTCCTCCTGCATCTTCTGGTTCAGGGGATTCAGCTTTGCGTTAGATTCTATATTTTACTCAGAATTTATGATGGTAACGTATTTATTGACATAAAATTGTACATTTTTAAAGTAAAATGAGATTTTATTAAATAAATACTTACCATCATAAATTAAAGGTCCCTCCCAACCTCCCCTTCATCCCCTGTTTTTTTTCCTAGGGCTTCTTGCTTACTTAGGAAATTAAATGGATGATATAAAGGCATGGTTATACAGGCACTGCTTGGTCATCCCTCTTCTCATTGGATGATATTTTTATTTGGGGTTTTCCGCCTGTCAGACTTGCGCAGATGGATGTACTCAGAATTTATGATGGTAAGTATTTATTTAATAAAATCTTATTTTACTTTAAAAATCTACAATTTTGAACATTTGTTCTAATTAACTTATTAAGTTATATTTATCATTTATGTTTATTTTTAAAAGTACAGTGCAATTGAATTTTATGTATATAAAATCTATCCATTTATATTTTTGATTTAAAAAAATAACATTTTAAGTGCATATTTAGAAATCAGCAACTGATTCAAATACATGAAGATTTGAGAAGAGAATTGAAATGTTTTACCTGTCTACAGTAAATTCAGGTTTTAATGTATGCATGTATTATTGCAAATCTTCAACATGGACTATACATGCAATTGAGTATAATTAATAAAAACATCACATAAAAGATATTATTTTCTGTATCTTACAATATCTAAAATCTTACTTGAACATGTATATTTCAATACTCTGAAATGATAAAAAAATATTTCAATGTTTTGCAGTTGTCAGTTTGTTAAGAAAACTGAAGCAGCAATCAAAGGAAGCTCTTGAAGAAAGAAGACCTCAACTTATACAAGCTCTGAAAGATATAGGAGATTTTTATTTAGAACTTAAGTGGGACTTTCATAGCTGGGGTAATTTCATTCTCAGTTCAGATTATAAGCTATTGTGATTAAAGATACAATTTCAAAAAAGAACTTCTGTATTAAACTTTCACTTAAGCCAGTCAAGGTGTTTTGGTTGAGAACATAAACATAAATCATATTGAGCTGTCTGGGTATACAGAATAGAAAGAACTTATACAATACTGAAAAAAGCATCTATCAGTTACATCAGAAATAATATATTGTGAAAGCTATTTTCAGATCAACTTGGCATTCAGTTTATGAAGGTTTTGTTTGCTACAAATTTCATCCCATGTGTCCAATATATGCCAATTAAAAACAATGATTGTCTTTTCAAATAGAAAAGCACTATTCCCATTACATTTTGGAGATATACTAGTCAATATTATGTATATACACCATCAGAGTAATATTCAGAGTAATATATATATATACATGTTTCCTTATGGACCTTTAGTTTTAGATGTCAAATCACAAATCTAATCTCGCCGTGATATAGCCTTTTTGTGCTGATGCGGCGTAAAGCAATCACTAAACAATTAATCACAAATCTAATTATCTAACAAAACATCCGTTTTAAATGATTTGAAAGGCAATCTTAATCCACATATTCAAACAAATCAATAGTTTTTCTACAATCAACAAATAAAAGTATTTATTTTGTTTCTGGTATGTGATTGTTTTTTGTAGTGCCGCTTGTTTCCAGAATATTACCATCTGATGTATGTAAAATTCACAAATCTGGAGCTTGTCTACGGTAATGCAATACATTCTATTTTATACTTTTATGTCAATTCAGAACGGTTTTGATAAAATGTATTTACAACATGTACAAAGGTATATGAATTCCTCCATTTTTTTTTTCTCACTCTGTTAGGTATGGTTAAGGTTTATATCAATGGGACAACAATCCAACAATATACATATACATGTTTTAATCTTTTTTGACTCGCTTGCAACGAAAGTCGCAGTATGCGAGACTTAGGTAATACTATTTGGCGGCGGTGGCGTAAACCTTTTGTATAAAGCTTTATATTTCAGAAGGTAGAAGACCTGGATGCTTCATATCTTGTATGTAGATACCTTATGTTATGAGAAGTTTCTGTCAATCATATGTCCATTGTCCATGACCTCATTTTCATGGTTCACCGACTGCTTGAAAAAAAATTATAGTTCTTTTGTCATGTGAATTTCTCACTTATTATGAGTAATAGGATAACTATATTTGGTATTTGGGTTCCTTGCAACATCTACATGTCCGCCAGACAGGGTTCAACTGACCACAACCTCATTTCATGGATCAGTGATCAAGGTTAAAGTTAAGTGATTAAGTCCATTTCACAAATACTATAAGCAGTAGGTCAACTATATGTGGTGTATGGAATGATTGTAATGGGTACATGTCAGTCTGGCAGGTTTCATTTGACCTTGACCTCATTTTCATGGTTCATTGGTCAATGTTAAGTTTTTGTGTTTTGGTCTGTTTTTCAAGTAATATAAGCAATAGTTCAACTATATTTGGTGTATGGAATGATTGTAAGGTGTACATGTCTATCTGGCAGGTATCATCTGACCTTGACCTCATTTTCATGGTCAATGTTAAGTTTTTGTGTTTTGGTCTGTTTTTCAAATACTTACAGTAATTGGTCAGCTATATTTGGTGTATGTAATAACTGTAAGGTGTACATGTCTGTCTGGCAGGTATAATCTGACCTTGACCCCATTTTCATGGTTCATTTGTCAATAATGTTAAGTTTTTGTGTTTTGGTCTGTTTTTCAATTACCATAAGCAATAGGTCAAGTGTATTGGGTGTTTAAAAAAATTGTAAGGTGTATATGTCTGTCTGACAGGATTTATCTGACCTTGACCTCATTCTCGTAGATCTTTAAAAATGTTAAGTTTATGTGATACTATGGTGATATCTTTAAGACTTTCAACATAAAATCAATGGTCAGTACAGCTGGCAAGACATTTCATCGTGTATACGCTTGTTTATTAAAGTACACATAAAAAGATCACCATTTGGTCTTTCAAGTCTGTCAGACAAGTTCTTAAATTATAAAGCAAGCTCTCAATTCTTTAATACTTTACAAGTTGGTGATTTTAATAGAGAGGACCTAGATATGACAAGATCGTCAGTTTCCTAAAAACAGTAGAACAGTAAGACAAAACAATTAGTGAAGAATTAATTACTTTAATGAGGCAAATACTCATATGTCACAGTCAAACTAGTTTACTGAGTGATAATATGCTTCTTGTATAATCTCATGCAGAGGTAGAACAAAATTATGATACAGTTAACTTTAAATATAAACAACAAAAATCAATCCAGCAAAGTCCTTTACAATTTTATTATATAAGAATAACAAGAAAAATTCTACTTGTTAATAGAAAGCACTGTACAATGATGTTCAATGTATTATAATGATTATGAGCATTTAGATTTTAAAAACAAGATTGAAGTACCTTCCATTTTGGTTATGTATTTTTTGCATGTGTACTTGTCTAACAAAGGTTAGCACATGTATATATAATGTAAATGTAATTAAAGAAAAGATCAATAAAAGGAAATATGGGATGTCAATGAGGCTGCATTCCATAACTCAAATAAAAGGTCATCTAGAATGTCAACAGTTGTAAACAATACCCAGGTGTCAATCTCTCAATTGCACTGAATCTTTAAAAAGTAGTGAATAAATTGAATATCTACGATCTATATTGATACATTAAAAAAAAACATTAAGATATAACATAAGAAAACACAGTTATAGATAAGCTTTGTTAGAATTAAAACAAAATCGTCAGCTTGTGCTTAGGTTGAAAACAAAATGATCACTTTGGTTTTATATTAAGTGTTCTACTGTAACAGTGGTATATTTCCATTTCAGATTGGATACTACATTAGTAGATTTTGAAGTGTTCTACTGTAACAGTGGTATATTTCCATTTCAGATTGGATACTACATTAGTAGATTTTGAAGTGTTCTACTGTAACAGTGGTATATTTCCATTTCAGATTGGATACTACATTAGTAGATTTTGAAGTGTTCTACTGTAACAGTGGTATATTTTCATTTCAGATTGGAAACTACATTAGTAGATTTTAAGTTTTCTACTGTAACAGTGGTATATTTCCATTTCAATTTTCATTTCAGATTGGATACTACTTTAGTAGATTTTAAGTTTTCTACTATAACAGTGGTACATTTTCATTTTAGATTGGATACTAAATTAGTAGATTTTAAGTGTTCTACTATAACCAGGGCTCACGCTACCAGGCGACTAGGGCGAAGAAGTCGCTTTCCCGTCCGTCACTTCGCTTTGCCCGACCCTCAAAAGCGAAAACAAGTCGCCCTGTTGTTTACGATACTCGCTTTCAGTCACTTTCGTCATTGGCAATATTCAATTTTTACCAAGTCGATGAAACAGCAATTTTTCATTTTAAAATAAAGAAATTCAAGGCATAAACGATTTATTTTCTTCAGAAAAGAGGTTAAAGCATTGATTTTAAAGTTGGTGGCATGTTATTTCATAAAAACAATTGTTTATCACTTCCGGTACTTGTTACTCGGAGAGCGTACATCAAATCATTCTAACTTTCGGCAAAATAAGTTGTTACTTCATGAGAACTTGATGAAATTTGCCTAAAGTAAATTTGTTATCCATGTATTGCATTAAAAACGTCATATTCCTTTCCAAATAGAGTGTCAAACATCGTTTATTTTTGTAAATTTTTCTTCGTCCGCCATTTAAATTATTGGGCATATTATTGTACAACTACGGATCGGAGTCGGGATTTCATCGGAAACGGACAGGCTATGACTGAAATCCGGATTCTTACGATAATGACTACGGACGCATGAATGGCACTGCTGACAGACAAAAATTGATCCCAAAAGGAAAAATTACGCATTCCACATGCATTAACATACTTTTGGTTAGATCTTCTTGATTAATGTATATATTTCCATGTATATGCATTGTTTCAATTTATAAGTTAAAGTTGCTCAATTCAGAAACTATTACACTAATATAGTTATATAATGTCCAAGCTTAACTGTTAAAATTATATATCTTTTTAATGAGAAATACTTAGTTTCATGAACATGATAACAGAGTAGGTTTTTAATTGATATAACAACTTTCTTTTCCTTTTTGATATAAAAAAAAAATCTTTTTTATTATTATTGCCAGATATTTAATTGTTTTTTCTGACAAGAGGACTCATATGATTGTGCAACTAGATATGATGAAATTAAACAACTTTAAATTTGAGCAGTTACTTTAATTGTATACCCAGGTACAAATTGAACAATATAAAAAAAAATAAGAAACATATGACCCTTAATGTATTATAGTAAAAACCAAACATTGTAGCGCCGTGAGTGAACAAGCACTTCTCTTTCAAATCTCACCACTTCTCTCTCTCAATTTCAAAAAGAGAAGTCACTTCTCCCTATGATTCTGAAGTAGTGTGAGCCCTGATAACATTGGTATATTTTGATTTCAGATTGGATACTACATTAGTAGATTTTAAGTGTTCTACTATAACAGTGGTATATTTACATTTCAGATTGGATACTACATTAGTAGATTTTAATGGTATGCACTGGGAAAGAGGGGACATAACTTTTGTATTCAATGGTGATATGCCTCCAGAGAAATGTCTCACAGTCATGGATAACAAAACTAAAGTTTATCAAAGAATAAAATATGAGGTTAGAAGTGTTTTGTCTTCTGCCCTAAAGCTAAAAAAAATATTGAGTACTATTATCATACTCAGACTCAGAATTCGACCAATCAAAATAATATATCTTGTTTTTAGAGCACACATTTTGTACTCTGAGTACTGAGTAAAGTTTAATGACTGTGAGCCCTGATTCTGTTATAGTTTGTACAGTCTTCATGAACAAACTTTGACATACAAGCTGGAAAATAGTCTCATAAAATTTCTTTAGATTTATATGGCTTGAGAATCTTCTTTTAAGGAAAATTACACTGGCCTGGCCTATAGGACTTGTAGTCAATGGTGAAGACTGTTCTAGTAGTATCTTTTGCTATAAAAAAAAACTTATTTATAATTCCGATCGACTGATGTCACTAAATTAGCTGTGCAAATGAACAAAAGGAAATACAATATTATGGTGATAGAGTAATCAGTTGGTATCTGTGTTGTTTAAGTTTAAAAGCATGCATTTCAAAAACTTGAGAGATTTTTGGTGGAAAGCATGCTTCTAGTTTAGAAAATTGAATTCCTCTGATAAATTTTGGACTAGGTCAAATATTTCTGTGTGTACAATGTTGGCAAACAAGTGAAACAAATGGTCATGTCGAGCAGTAACATTACATAAACAAGTGAAACAAATGGTCATGTCGAGCAGTAACATCACATAAACAAGTGAAACAAATGGTCATGTCGAGCAGTAACATCACATAAACAAGTGAAACAAATGGTCATGTCGAGCAGTAACATTACATAAACAAGTGAAACAAATGGTCATGTCGAGCAGTAACATCACATAAACAAGTGAAACAAATGGTCATGTCGAGCAGTAACATTACATAAACAAGTGAAATAAATGGTCATGTCGAGCAGTAACATTACATAAACAAGTGAAATAAATGGTCATGTCGAGCAGTAACATTACATAAACAAGTGAAACAAATTGTCATGTCGAGCAGTAACATTACATTTCATGTCGAGCAGTAACATTACATTTCATGCTGTACTGTGGATTCATTTATTTTCGTGGGTATCAATTTTTGTGGATTGAGGAAAACTTGCATTTTCATGGATATTTGATTTCATGGTTTGGCCAAGTCCGCAAACAACCTAATAGAAAATGTGCCTTTCTTTGATTGTTTAAATATATGGCTCACCCGTACCCACGAAATCCATGGAAATTGGTATCCAACGAATTACAATGAATCCACAGTATCTTCCTTATTAAATATTTTCGGTCTTCTAAATGAGGGCTGTTCCAGAATTAATTGTATAAGGGGGTCAGAAGGCACTTCATTTAAGATTTGATGGGTGGCAGTTATATTTTGAATGATAGCTTTAACCATTATAGAAGAAAATCAATTTTTTTTTTTTTTTACATGAAGGGTAAAATTCAAATTCAAATTCCACCACCCCTAAATCCCACCCCTACCCCATACATTTATTTCCAGAACGGTCCTGGTCCATTCACATCAATTTTTGTATAGATTTAAACATGAAGTAAGTGCATTTTGTTATTGTGGTTATATCTATATTCTAGGAAACAGAACAGGAGGTTGAAGATGAAGTAGATATATTGATGAGTAGTGATATAATGGCAGCTCAGATGTCCACTAAAAATATCACCTTCTCTCGTTCACAAAGTGGATGGCTTTTCAGGGAAGACAAAACAGTAAGGAAATCCATTTGTCAAAATGAAATATTAACATGATATATGGTCAAATATTTTCATCCTGTTTTGATAATCCACAAAAAATTGTTCATTTATATATATAATTACAAATTCAGTGAACAATGAGAAAATTTTGTAACCAGTCAAGACCTGCAAAAAGTATTCATGATATAAACTATTTAAATGGATATCTTTATAAGGGGTGTAGCATGAACATAAACTCATCGTAGATGCCAGGCATAAAATTTGTTATGTCAGATGCACGTTTTGTCTATGATAGACTCATCAGTGATGCTCGAATCGTAAAAGTTAAAAAGGCCAAATAAAGCAGGTATACACCACCATTTGAATTAATTCTGCCAGGCATGTCTCCTTTCAAAGTTTCAATAAAAACTCGCCCTTATGAGCTCCTTAAAGTTAGCTGATTTATCGTATTTTCTTTTCTATTTTACAATTGTTTGCTCAGTAAAAACATACAATGCATGATAAAGGTTTGATCTTCATTAAATTTTACCCAAAGAAGGAGGTAGTCTGCCTAAAACTCTTTCAAAGGGTTAACATATATTTGTATAATAACTTGACTGTGCAAGTTTTATGATGTTTTTATGTTGTAGGAAATGGTTGGTGAATTTGAAGCAGATTTTTTCAATGTACATGGACTTAATTTAGAATCAAAGAAGAGGTATGGTGTTATTTTTTTGTAAAACATATCCTTATGTCACCCAACTTCAGGCCTTGAGATATCTTCAACATTCTTTGTTTCTGAAATATGCTAAAAGCAAAAGTTTTAGTTTTGGGGTTTCTTACTTAAAAATAGATAACCTTTTCTGTAGAAACAATACTTGAGTACAAAAAAGGAGATTTAATCTTTTTGTCAAATGATTCAAAAATGAGAATCCAACACTTAAATATTGTCTCATAGGTGTTTGATTAATTTAAGAAAATAGTAATTATATGCCAAATTTGCTTGTCACTTTTCTTGTTACCATTAGGAGAGAGCATTTATCCCCAGAAGATATACAGAAAAACAAAGCAATAATGGAGAGTCTAAGTAAAGGAACCTGGGACAATTGTGAGGTAAGCAGTATATCCAACAGGCATCTGTAGATGTTAGGGATGCATCAAATATTTAAGAAATAATTGATGTAAGCCAAAGATTTGTTGGACATTGACACATAGCCTGGGCCGTGATATTCAAATTTTATCCTGAGCGTTAGGTAAGATTGCCGTGGGTATGGCTGTTCTAATTTACTCCCCTGTAAGATAAAAGCTACAAATTTCAAATAAATCTAAGTCTTGCATGAATTATTTCTTAAATAACCACTAGAAAAAATGTGTTAAATCCTTATAAATCTTAACCCAAACATTGTTTTTTCGTTGGCTACTATTTATTTCAAATCCACAGTTGACATATCGTAACTAAGGAGTGAGCAGCCATGTTGACTTGCTGAAATCCACAAATGTGCGAATAATGCAATAGAATAGAAAAAAAACCTACCTCCAAACTCCATTTTAATGCGATATAATCAGAAATTAGAGCATATACGTAACGGAAAACCTTCAGCTTGAGAGTTTTCATTCGTATGACGTCATGTTATGACATGACGTTAATCCGCCAAGATAATTCATGAAATGTTGTGGAATTTTATTTTATTTTGATTTTATACATTTTTTTAAGCTCCTGTGCATTAATTCTTTTTGTTATGCATTAAAATAGATATAACGGTTCTGTAGTTTCTTTTTCAATTTCAATTTGAACGCAACGAAATCGACATAGTGTTTGCACATAGGTTACGACACATGTGGATTTATGTGGGAGGTAAATAGTAACAGCCATCAATATGTATATCTATGAGTCTGCGCTAAGTATAGATATATCGAGAATATATCACGCTGTTGATTACAAAGCGAAAGAAGCATGTCATATTAGAATCTTCAATTAAATTGTGATAACTGTGAATACATTTATTTACTCTATTTATGACCTTCAAGTTTTATCTAAGTTGTAAAGGTTTTGAATACTCATAACATGTTGAAGGACAATATTTGAGTAAAAATTATTATTCCATGTAAATTAGTGATACTTGAGATTCAAGAAATTAATTTCTAAGGATCCTTGTCTGGCACACTATATTTATACAATAACTAATCCAAGAATTCAAATATAGAAAAATATTCTACAAGTTATTGAACAAGACATTAATTCACAAATTCATGTAAGGCATGAATTAATTATCAATCTCTTGTTGAATATTTTTTCAATTTTTGGAATTCTTGGATAAGTTATCCTTTTTATTACATTGAACATGGACTTTTTAAAGGAAATTAAGTAGAAAATGCAAGGAACTATGTCTTTTTCTTTGTATTCTTAATTCATTTTGATGCATTGAATGTATTGTCAACAACCATTGTTGTATGACATTGGAGGAGTTGAATTATAGGTTTTTACTTTACTTGGAAATCATGGTATTTCATTGCAACCAATGTTATTGTTTAGTCACACACTTATGTTATAAATTCTTTGTTTGTATATTTACTAGTTTGACCGGAGGCCATCATTAGAACCCCCACCCAAACCTAGTATATCATGGACTGATTATGCATCAGCACAACCAGGAAAACATGTCTGTCTAGGTAGACAGTATATATCTAAAGAAAGCCCAAAGTCTTTCAAAGCTACAGTGGCTGTGGTGAGTCTTACAAAGTATTAGTCATTACTGGGAATCTAAATTGATACAGATTTATTGGATAAACGTTGATGAGAGAGTCATCCAACAACACTATAAACAGATAATATCTTCCAAAGGTCAACTTGGGGGCCTCGGTGGCCGAGTGGTCTAAGTAGTTACTACTGTAATCACTAGCCAGTCAACACGGAGGTTGCGAGTTCGAACCCCGCTCGTGCAGGTGCACTCAACTCCAACCTTAATTGACTAGGATTGTCAGTTTTCCTATTGAAGGTCTGTGGTTTTCTCTGGGCACTCCAGCTTCCTCCACCAATAAAAACTGGCCGCCACGAAATAGCCCAAATGTGGCGCTTAAAAGTGGTGTTAAAACACCAACAATCAATCAATCCAAAGGTCAACTTTCAAAGATGAGTAGGTCATCACTACATGCAGTAAAAAATTTTATTATTATTTGACACGTTGTGTGATTATTAAAAAAGGCAGACCAAGTAAGGCACATAGACAATAAACGAAAGTGAACCAACACCTGGTAAATCTTCAATAAGATAGAAAATAATTTTAGGAAAATGCTCTTAAGAAAAATTAACTATGCTGTTTCCTTTGTTGCAGCAGAAGAACCCCATCACATACCCATATAATTATTAATGTTATACTAAAATTTTGTAGAAAAGTACAGTTTGATGCTTATCATATATGTCCTGGCATCTTATTTATGATACAAAAATGTTTGTTTCATTGGCATGTAAAAATTATGCATCACAAATTTTGTATGAAGCACATAAAAGTATGATCATCACACCCAATGAAGCTATAAAAAGATGCATTCAATTGTCATAATTACATTTCAAAGTTTATAAATACAAAAATCGTTAGAGAAATGGACTATTTTGCCAATATTGGTTTGAAAAATTTCTAAGCACTCACCCTGTTAATTTATCATCCAAGCAATCTCATCGAAGCATGCAGGATTTTATTTTTCTTTGTGATTAAAATCAATGTTTAGTTTTAATGTTTGCCAAGATTTCATAAACATATATTATGTTTTCATCTCTGTACATTTCATTTGATTATGCCACATCAGATTTAGTGAGAGATACTCAAGCCCTATCTCAGTAAGATTTTTTTCAATTTCATATTTATTTTTTACCTTTTTAAATAATTCTTTTTAATCCACAGCAAAATTTTTATAAAAATCAAAAACATTTAAAAAAGAAAATTTTACTTCCTCTTGTTGAATTTTATCTTATGTGGCCTTCAAGGTTTTGTTATTTAATGTATTCATTTTTATCTTATAGAGCAAGAATTTTCCAATGAACGTTCATGCGTAAGTGATCAGAAATTATGTTTTATGTCTTGCAAGATCAGAGCATACATTGTAGTCATTATCAACAACAAAATAAAGTTTTCAGATTTTTATAGATATGTAAAATATGGCTTGTACTTTTTACGGTAAAAATAACCTTCAAATATCCATGTTTAATATTCTGTAAAAGTTTTATTTTCGTGTTCTTATTTCAGAACAGCAATATAATATTTAACACATTTCTGTCATAGTACCAGATTGAAATGTTCTTCATTAATTCATATATGGTATTGGCAGTGGAATAGGTCTCTCCCCTACAGCAAATAGAATAAATAGAAACCAAAAAACTTTGAACAAATTGTACTGTTGAAAAGGAAAAAAACTACAGTTGTAAAAAATAATCAGAAAATCTTTTGAAATTGTATTAAAATGCTACCATTCCAAGCAACCATTAATTTGTAAAAATTTATTTTGTTCACATCAGATGCACAACTTCAAAAATGGAACTTTTTCCTAAGTAATCATTATGATAGAATTTTTTTAATTTTGCAGCTTATTAGATGTCTTGGAAGTTGTTGCTCCTTTTAAACAGTTCCAAAAATTGAGAGACTTTATGACATCAAAATTACCAGATGGATTCCCAGTACAAATTGGTAAGATAAGAAGATTTGTATATATTAGGGATTGTTTTGAATACATTTCAGTATTTGTAATAGAAGTTGATGTTGAGATTATGTGTAATAAAAAAAAAATTATATATATAGTTTTAATACAATAATACAGGCATGTGTTTTATTTTGTGAAAGTTAAAAGTAACTAGGCAGATAACCTAGGTTCTACACCACAATGTTCATTTCTGAGGGGACATTCACTATAATAATCACTTTTATATTGTCACAATATTTACATTTTAAGATTTATTTTATCGTTGTGCTTAAAATAAAATATTGAAACTATCAAAAGAAGAATTGCAATAATCAAAAAAAGGGTTTACGACAAGACACACAATCCTTGTTTAATGTATTATGAAATTTTATGAAGAGTTTTTTTTTTTAACCAGGGTAGTTCTAATGATTGTATTATTTCTTATTGACAATATAATGTTTTGGTTTTGTAGAAATCCCAGTGTTTCCTACAGTGACAGCTACTGTAACGTTCCAGCACTTCTCATGGCGAGAGAACTTAAATCCTAACTTATTTACCATTCCTTTCCAATACCGAGAAGATCCAAAAAGATTCCCCGACTTATGACTCATCTGGAAGGACATTAGTATCATCCATATCTTAATGAGCCTTCGTAGTCTCCAAGATGATATTGTAGGAATGGAAATCCCCTTAACTAATTTAGGAAACTCTAGTACAGAAATGACTCTCATTCTCTAGTTATGGAAATCCCATGACTTATTTAGGATACTTCAAACATAAAAGACTTTTATCTTCTCGTCCTTGGAAAATTAACTTAGAAAAATGCACAGAATAAAAACTCATCCTCTAGTAATGGAAATCCCCATGATTACTTGAGAAAACTTCAAAAATAAAGACAATTTTCTTCTTGTCATGGAAATTTCCTAAATTAAGTTAGAAAATACAGCATAGACACTTATCCTCTAGTCATTGTAGACAGATTTTAGTGATTAAACAGATTTGTGATTCTTGACAATCTGATATTTTTGTTATGCAACATTTGGCAGGTTTAACTATTTAATGTATATATGATATGGTTATATATGTGTTGTTAGCATCTTTTTCTCAAGTTGTTTTAATTAACAGAAAACAGTTGATTCATTATTAATAATGAAAGTATATTATTATATTCAATACAGACAAAACAAGTATTTTTGATCTGAGAAAATATATCTGTTATATAGTAAAAATATGAATTGTGAGTTTTTGTGTAGAGTTTATCAATCTGTACAGAAAAAATATTATTAGATAGATTTTAGATTTATAGGGGGAAGGTAATTGACTTTACAATGAAAGCTGAAAGTATCTATGTTCTTGGTTGAAATTAAAAAGATTTGTAATTCAGTTGTACAATGGTTGAAGTGTCAGGATATCATAAAAATAAAAATGTAAACTTCATATAACAAATTGAAGTAGGTAATTGACAATTATGTTTCTGTACCCATTTCATCTAATGCGTTGTGACTCCACTGATTTAGGTAAAACAGATATTTTCTTGTTTTAATTAAATATATATATAATAAATAAAAAAAAGTTGCCTGTCATTGACGAGCTAGTAGATTATGGATACCATTTTTTGGAAGAAACTACTAATTCATTGTTTCACTTTAATATACTCCAAATACAGAAAAGATTTTTCATAAAGAAATGTTATAATTTAGAATTTTCATGTTATACATCCTTTATAATGATAAATGTGACTGGATGAATATCAGAATAATTCAACTACCCATTTAAAATGACTTGTTGTATTGTATCACTGGAATGACAAGAATTCCATGTGCATTTGGTTGATCTGCAATAATAAATGTGAGCATGAAATTTTGAATTAACAGAACAAAATTTTCAATAAATATGACATTTTTAAAATAAGTCATAAAAAGCTGATAATATGTCCATTACAATCCTACACTATTTTGAAAATTTATGAGGAGTCAACTTTTGTTGGGTTTCCAAATTTTTTCCTACATACCACAGATTTTTAAATTCATTTATTCATACATGTACCTAAGAACATAGATTTTCAAATTCATTTATACATACCACAGGGCACCTAATTTCAAATGTATTTAGACATACCACAGAACACTGACTTTCAAATGTATTTATACATACCCTAGAACACTGATTTTCCTTAGCATTTATTATACTTTTGTATGGTTATATTGATTTGTTAACTAAAAATTCAATGGTCATTGTTGTAATTATATTAGATATTTGAATTGCTTTTTTTTTCCTTTAAGAATCCTGTTGGTTTTTGTCGAGCCTTCGACTTTTGTCGAAAAAGCGAGACATAGCGATCCTACATTCCGTCGTCGTCGGCGGCGTCCACAAATATTCACTCTGTGGTTAAAGTTTTTGAAATTTTAATAACTTTCTTAAACTATCCTGGATTTCTACCAAACTTGGAAAGAAGCTTGTTTATGATCATAAGATAGTATCCAGAAGTAAATTTTGTAAAAAAAAAAATCCATTTTTTTCGTATTTTACTTATAAATGTACTTAGTTTTTCTGCCAGTTAACATTACATTCACTCTGTGGTTAAAGTTTTTAAAATTTTAAAAACTTTCTTAAACTATCCTCTATTTGTACCAAACTTGGACAGAAGCTTGTTTATGATCATAAGATAGTATCCAGAAGTAAAATTTGTAAAAAAAAATCCAGTTTATCCGTATTTAACTTATAAATGGACTTAGTTTTTCTGCCAGTTTACATTACATTCACTCTGTGGTTAAAGTTTTTTTAAATTTTAACAACTTTCTTAAACTATCCTGGATTTTTACCAAACTTGGACAGAAGCTTGTTTATGATTAAAAGCTAGTATCTAGAAGGAAAATTTGTTAAAATTTTGTTCCATTTTTTCCGTTTTTTACTTATAAATGGACTTTGTTTTTCTTCCATTTAACATTACATACAGTCTGCAGTTTAAGTTTTTAAAACATTTATTAGATTCATAAACTATCCTGGATTTTTACCAAACTTGGACAGAAGCTACTTACAATCAAAAGATAGTATAGAGAGGAATATTTTTATTAATTTTTTTCCTCATTTTTGTTGAGCCTGCGATTAACAGCAAAAGTAGGCGAGACACTGGGTTCCGCGGAACCCTTACGAATTTTTTGTATTCACTTTACCAAACAAAATGACTATATTATGGTGAATTTGTCAACATGTTTAATAACAAAAGACATCTTTACCAAACTAAATGGTAACAAATATCTTGTATGGTTGTAATGTTATTGTATTACAGATATTTTTTTCTCAATTTGAGTCCATATTTAATTCATAATGTATATTTGTTATTATCCTCTATATTCTTCTTTAAACGGGCTAATCCAGAAAAAAAGGGGGGTGGACTCCATTTTTATTATTCGATACCACCTCATGGAATTTTAACCATTTTTTATACGACCGCAAAAAAATTTTGTGGTCATATATTGGTATGACGTTGGCGTCGTCTTAGTTTAAGTGAATGGATCTCTATGAAATTTTACCATAAGGTTCAATACCACAAAAGGAAGGTTGGGATTGATTTTGGGGGTTATGGTATTAACAGTTAAGGAAAAAGGGGCCAAAAATAAGCATTTTTGTAACTTCCAGACATAACTTGTGTGTTAGTGTATGGATCTCTCTGACATTGTACCATAAGGTTCCATATCACAAAGGGAATGCTGGGATTGATTTGGGGAGTAATTGCCTCAAAATTTTAGGAATAAGGGGCAAAAAAAGGGGCAAAAAACAAGCATTTTTCTAGTTTCATGATAATAACTTGTGTGTAAGTGTATGGATCTTTCTGAAATTGTACTAAAAGGTTCCATATCACAAAAGGAAAGCTGGAATTGAGTTTAGGGGTAATTGCACAAAACGTTTAGGAATAAGGGGCCAAAAATAAGCATTTTTCTAGTTTCCAGACAATAACTTGTGTTCAAGTGTATGAATCTCTCTGAAATTGTACTGCAAGGTACCATACCTCAAAGGGAAGGCTGGGATTGATTTTGGGGGTAATTGCCTCAAAATTTTAGGAATAAGGGGCCAAAAAGGGGCAAAAAACAAGCATTTTTCTAGTTTCAGGACAATAACTTGTGTGTAAGTGTATGGATCTTTATGGAATTGTACTACAAGGTTCCATATCACAAAGGGAAAGCTGGGTTTGAGTTTGGGGGTAATTGCCCTAAACGTTTAGGAATTTGGGGCCAAAAAGGGGCCTAAAAACAAGCATTTTTCTAGAATCCAGACAATAACTTGTGGTCAAGTGTATGGATCTCTCTGAAATTGAACTGCAGGGTACCATACCACAAAGGGAAGGCTGGGATTGAGTTTGGGGGTGATGAATCATACGGGGGTTCAAAAAATTTGGGGGAGGGATTTTTGTTTTTTTTTTAAATTTTCCATTTTAAATTAGTTATTTCTGATTTATATATAAAAGCAAATAATAATGATATGGTTTGAATAGGTAAATTAAAAAGTTTTAAGTTCTTAGACCACATTCATTCTGTGTCAGAAACCTATGCTGTGTCAAATATTTAATCACAATCCAAATTCAGTGCTGTATCAAGCTTGAATGTTGTGTCCATACTTGCCCCAACTGTTCAGGGTTCGACCTCTGCGGTCGTATAAAGCTGCGCCCAGCGGAGCATTTTATTTTTTATTGAATCTAAAAAAAAAGAAGTAATGCAAATGACATCCACCAAGATTTATTGAATAGAGTGGAGTTCTGACCTTATGTATTTTTTCCTAGAAAAGCCCCTGCATAATCAAATGTAATTTGTAGAAAAAACTTAAGTTAAAAATTCCTTGAGAAAATGTTTTATTTTCACAGTTAATGAGTGTGTCTGCATTAACAGGTACAAGTTTTTTGGGTTGAAATTATGTAGTGTTCTAATATGAGGATTTATTTTAGGGGTTGATTTAATATCAAAAATAAAATTTTAATGTTTTCATTAATTTGGTTTTATCAAACTTTTATTTCAATTCTTTTTTAGAGCTTTTTGTTACATTGTAATACTTTTATACTTGTTTTTCTGCAGTACATATACATGAACTTCTGTAATTTTGTTTTTCTGCAGTACATATACATGAACTACTGTATTTTTGTTTTTCTGCAGTACATATACATGAAATACTGTATTTTTGTTTTTCTGCAGTACATATACATGAACTACTGTATTTTTGTTTTTCTGCAGTACATATACATGTACTGCTGTATTTTTGTTTTTCTGCAGTACATATACATGTACTAATGTATTTTTGCTGGCTGATATTTTCACGATTTCAATGCATAAACTTTTTCGTGAGGATTATATTTGCTCAACAAACCATTAGTTGTACTTCATACCAGTATTGTTGCATGATACAAACTATATTCGCAGTGGATATTTTCTTGCATTTTACGGGTTTGTGAAATAAGCTTTAAAAAAGTCAACCCCTTACTGATATGGAAGCATTAAAATAATCAGGGTAATATGGAATATATTGGGTTAGCAGTAGATTTTGATTTGGTTGTTGCTGATTTGTTAAATTATAATTACCTGCTATTGTTTCAACACTGTGATGTAGGCTGGTTTACTTGATGCATATTTCATCCCATTTAAATGAATGCATGAAAAACATTTTTTCACGAACAACTAACAGCATTTTAGTTGTTTATTGCATTTGAATAACAACGAAATTATATCAGGACATCATAAAATTATGAAAATGTGTTCTGACCTTAGTACATCTGTTTATTCTGAAATAGCCCTGAACATGTCAATATTATATGTTTAATTTCTTTTTTAAAGAGGGGAATAATGTATCTTCATGAAAATGTTAAGTTAAAATAAAAGTACTGTTAATACATAGTTGCATCTTTAATGTTGTTCTAGGTAATATACTATTTATATAATTATAGTAAAAGTTAAATATGTAAGAGGAAAGGAATAAAATATAAATGGGAAATAAGTCATAGGATAGTTTTTACACCTGAGGTTACTTAAGATCACCCTTAATTAAGCTGAGATGGAACATGGTTTATTCCTTAAAAATAATCACAAAATATCCATTATTATAACTAAAGCATAAACTCTAAGTCAGATTCTTAGATTTTGAAGTCTTCATAAAACATTTTGATTCTAAACAGATGACAATGGTTAAATTTTGACTTCAGATCATACCGCAATTATTACTGTAAATTCAGAAATTATTGCGTGCATTTATTGTTGCAATTTTTGATGAATGGACAAATATACATGCTGATATCAGGTATTAAAATGTGAGTTCTTATTATTGCAATATTCACATTATTCGCAATAATAAAAACCTCCCAAAAATTTCAGAATTTACAGTACTTTTTTTAAGATCTTAAAGGATCCAGACAACAGTTATGCCACATATAAGCATACAAATGATTGGCGAGTATCGCAATAATAAGAACTCGCATTTTGATTTTTGATACATATATCTGTATGCAGATTTTCCTGAAATCGCAATAATTAATCTCGCATTTTTGTCCATTCTCCATAAATCGCATTAATAAATGCACGCAATAATTTTTGAATTTACAGTATTAACAACAGTTATACTTATTATCAGGCAATGGACTTCCCAAAGAAATTATTTTTTTATAACTCTCTACCAAAAAAATATACATTTAATTATCAAAAAACATTCTTGCAGAGTATAAAGAAGTAGTAAGTAGACAGTGCATTTTCACCTTCAGTGATGGAAAACGAAGTTTAACAACAAAGTAGAAATTTATGCAAATATCATTTCTATGCCTCGGATTGAATAGTGGGAGATATAATGTGTTCAGCATATTAATATATTTGGATTTGTTCTGTAAAGTAGTATGAGGGTAGACATCGTTTATTACCATCTTTGTTTATAGATATTTCCTTGTTATTTATATTTAAGGCACTGTGTACACATTGCACAAAATATTATTGTATTTAAAATAACTTTATTATGTGATAAGTATTTTTCAGTGATTTAGTAGAGTAGAAAACAGATCTGATATATTTTTAGTTCTGGATAAGAATTCATTAAATTCTAGTTTATATGATAATACGTGGTTATGCTTGTGAGGTGTTAAGGATGGCAAAATACAACATTTTTCTGTGAAAGTGGATGATGATATTTATCATCAATTTTCAGCATTACTGCCATTCAAAGAAAATTTTATCCATGCACACATATTATTATGAAAGGGTTAATTTACATAGATTACGAAACCATGTAATAAGTGTTCCTTTGCTCTGGATAAGCCTCAATGATAT